CTGGTGGTATTGCTCATTTTACACAACCGTATGAGTTTTGAGGGGATGCCAAATTCAGACATAGCGGCGTATAGGCAACTCCTTTTAGTGCTGTCGAAAGCTGCTTTAAAGTCGACAAATAGGTGGTGAGTGTCTATGCTTTTCTCGCGGATCTTTTCCAAGATTTGGCGTTTTGTGAATACCTGGTCTATGGTGGAGTTGCCAGACCTAAAGCCTCACTGATAAGGCCAAATCAGTTCATTGACGGTGGGCTTCAGTCTTTTAAACAATACGCTCGATAGACCTTGTAACCTATGCTTAGAAGGCTGATCCCGCGGTAGTTGGCGCGAATTCCTGTCGTCATGCGGTGATCTGACCATATTCTGCATAAGAGCTGATGCATGCACCTTATCAACTCCTCGCCACCGTACTTGAATAGCTCAGCTGGCCGGCTGCCAGCTCCAGCAGCTTTGTTTTTCAGCGCATTATTCCTATTCGTACCTCGTCATATTCAGGCGGTGGAACGTCGACTCCGTCATCATCGACTGCGGGCTGGGGTTCTTCTTCCCCACAACTTTCCGTGCTGCTACCATTCAGTAGGGTGGAAAGTGTTCCCTCCATAATTTAAGTACGTTCTGAACAGCGGTAACTAGGTCGCCATTGTTGTTCTTACAAGAGTACGCCCTGGTCTTGAAACCTTCCACAAGTCGCCTAACCCTCTGATAAAATTTTCGGGCGTTCTTCCTGTCGGGCAGCATTTCCAGCTCTTCGCATTCACGTATTTCGGCTACTCCCTTCTTATTGCGGCAAATACGTCTTGCTTTCCTCTTCAGATCCCTATAGCGTTCCCCATAGCGCGCGTTGCGCCCGATCGCAGCGTGGCCCTGCAGGCGGCATCTTTTTTCTCTGCAGCTTCCTGACCCTCATCGTGCCAGTTGTTTTTTCGGGCTCGCTGATATCCGATAACTTCGGCGGCGGTACTTAATGAGCGGTGGATGTGGTTCCACTGCTCGCATATGTTGGTTTGTTGAAGAGTGCTCTCTGAGAGCAGTTGTGAGAGTCGAGTAGCGAATGCATTGGCTGTCTGTTGTGATTGCAGCTTTTCGACCTTAAGCTTTCCTTGCTTATTTTGGCGCACATTTTTTGCTGCACAGAGTGCTGGTGCGTATCTTGGCTGCAACAAGATAGTGGTAGTGGTCCGAGTCGATGTTTGGGCCTCGGAGTACGTACGTATAAAACACTGGAAGCATGCCTTCACTCTATCACAACATGATCGATTTGGTTTCTCATTTTTCGATCCGGAGACAGCCACATAGCTTGATGAATATTTTTATGCTTGAACGTAGTACTGACGTTGCGTAGTGGAGACTGAATTTTCCGATAGTGGTTCCAAAAATCCCTTCCTTGCCCACCCTGGCATTGAAATCGCCAAGCACGATTTTGATATCTTGGCGGGGGCAGCGCTTGGAGCGCACGCATAGGAGAAATCCTTGGATGCCACATCCTTCCCTTCCCATCCTTTGATGCGGATTATGGCTAGGCGCTCGTCCACCGGGGTGAACGACAGTACTCGGCGTCGGATTCCTCTCCCAACACAAATCCAACACCGAATTTACGCTCCGTTACATGGCAGCTGTAGTAGACGTCGCAAGGTCCCAGATATTACTTGCCTTTCCCCGTCCAACGAGTTTCTTGGATGGCGGTGATGTCAGCTTTTGGTCTGACGAGGACATCAACCAGTCGGGCAGAGGCCCCACTAAAGGTCCGGACATTCCAGGTGCATGCCTTCTGTCCATTTAAGTTTGCCGTGATCGTCATCATAGAGGGGGTCTCATCCGAGGCTTTACTTCGCTTTTTCACTGGAAGGGGTTTTTACGTGGCGGATCCCAAACCTAGCGCACAACCCATTGCTGAACAGGGGTGGTTTCACAACCAAATACATGTTTATATGCTGGCGAACAGACGCTGCAGACTTCAGTGAGCCCTTAAACCGAATAATTCGGAGTGGCCCCACCGAAGCTCCCTCTCTTTCTGCCGTGACCCAAGGTTCCACTCGGATAACCGCATCTCGCTCAGAGTGCGCGAACGAGGACTCAAGAGTCGGGATTGAGTATAGCCGTGCAACTGTAACTGCATTCCCAGCGCAACGACTATACCCCATTGCACTTCATTGTGTATCTTATTTCAAATTAATAGTTTCGCAATAAAATATAAATAAATGGATAGTGTTGAGCTGTGCTTTAGTGGCGAGAGTGAAGATGAAAGTGCCAATTTAACGGAATTGGCAAAATTGAGAAGGAGGTTGAGAGATTCCGCTAATCCTCTGAAGCAGGAGGACCAAATGTATGCTTTCTTTTTTTTTTCTTCTTTTTCTAAGTTCAGCCTTTCTTTTTTAAGTCTGTAAGACTTCCTTGTAAAACTCTCAATATATTTTAGACTATCTTTCATTTCTTTCGAGTTTGCTTTCATAGTTTCAAAGTGTTTTGTTGATTTCCGCCGATTGACACAAACATGGTATCGTAAAAAGTTCACCACCACTTCCTCCAGTGGCGTAAGTGTATGGATATTATTTAGGCCCCCACCAGTTGCTCGAAATTCTCCTCTATTTTCAGATATAATAACGCTTTTATCAACTTGTAATGTTGTGTGTCCAGACCACCATTTATACTGTAAATATAGCAAAGGTATTTATGGCAAAGTCTAGATATCAACCTAGTCTAGATATCAACCTCGTTGTAGACATCATATCAAAGACATACAATTAGAATACTCTAGATGTCGCGCCGCCAGAAGAAGTTAAATATTGCGGCTAAAAATATGCACTACATACGCTACAGCGGAAATGGACGACACGCCACGAAATTAGTTCCTGCTACATGTATGTATGTTCATATGTATGTATATACTCAGCGTGAGCACAAAACAATTTCCTTGCATAGTCTTCTGTTCTCTTTTCACTGCAAGTTGAATTATTTTAATATCTATTGCAAAATTTTATACAGACAAGACTAAAAATTATAAAATAAAAAAAATAAAAACTTAGTATATCACCATTTATAAATGGACTAAAAATTAGAAAGTAATATTTCTCACTCCCATAGATTTGTTTTGATAACTTTTGATTTTCATTATAAACAATTTATGAGATTGAAAATGAAAAGCGCGGGGCGTATGTAATAGACCTGAATTGATATGAAGGGTAATATATGTATGTACTATGTGGATATATGAATAACGACCGCTTAAAATCGATCTCAAATTTGTACTTTCTCTGTAGAAATTTTAGGTCTATGTTATGTAGTTTGACTGTTGTCAATTAAATCTAATTCTTTGTATTGCATGCGCTCCTCGTTTTTCGTTTTCAATCTCATAAATTGTTTATAATGACTTTTGCTAAAATTTCAAAATCAAAAGTTATCAAAACAAATTCTATGGGACTGAGAAATATTAGTTTTTAATTTTTAGTCCATTTATAAAAGCGTGGTATATTAAAAAGTTTTTTTTATATTATTTATATTCTCTTTCGTTTTACTTCCTAAATCAGTCCAAACCTACATAAAAATATGCCACATTGTTTTATTTACCACAGCTCGTATCAGAATTTATTTTACCTTTAACCACGAACGCATTGGTGGTCCGACGCTGTTGAGTTTCACTGAAATGGCTTTCCATCTTGGTTTTGCCCGAGACTTTCCGCAAATTCCTATTGCCTATTGCCATATCCTGATTCTCCTGCATCAGCTCAACCAACCGCGCAAGTTGCCTTTTATTGCCAACAATTTTTGATCTTTAATTTATACACATACATACATGTATGCTAAAATTTTTTACAACTTCCAGTTCAATTAACTTACTTTTTATCCATTATAGTACCACTTTCTTGTATAAATTGTGTAAACGAAAACTCAAGCGACTCAGAAATTTTAATAGAAAGGTGAGCGATTAAAAACTATTCACAGTCGCTAATTGAGCGACTAATCGACACTCATAATAGCATCGAAAACCGATAATCGCTTAATAGTCGTTTATCTACTGTCAGTCGACCTTCGCAATAGGGGTGAAAGTTTGAATGAAGTAACCAATGAACATATTTTGATCTGTTTGAAGGAAGTCGATAGCTTCTGCGATAGGTTGCATTACTTTTTCATGTTCTTCCAATTACTCAATTTCGTCCTCATTGAAAGTATGCATGCATTTCTTCTACCCTTTATAATTAGTAGCACCAATGACATGTATTGATTGATTGACTTGTTTGCCTTTTTGGAATTTTTATTATTTTAAAGTTAGGTACAAATAACGTCACTCTGGATTAACGTTTTCCACTTGCACATGTATGTAAATTGCCTATATTCGCTCCGCTAGTTTCACCTATCACTGAATAGACAGTGGTAGTGCAATTCAGTGGTAGTGCAAAAATGCCCAACCCTGTATAATATATACGCCAATAATTAGAATAAAAAAAAAATGCTTCAGTTTTTTATTAATTATTTCCACTTCATTACTATTTGCGTGGTACCTTCATATTTTCAAAGTGATTGTTGAAATAAAATTAATATAACACGTAAATTAAAATAAACTAGTAACACCATCGATAGCAGCCAAAAATAAGTCCAAAGAATATTTTTATTAATAAGATATTAATTGTGTCCACTCAGAACACCGATCTACCCCACTGTGCGCCATCTGAAAAGGAACACACAAGTTATTCGGGGAAAAAGTCCTGAAATCAGCCTTGATGCACTGGCTATACAAGAATTTTAAGGGTAGCCAGTAAACATTTCAACACTTCTCAGAACCAATGCATAAAGCAACAGTAAATAAAAAAACGTATCCGTACAAATGTAGGACATATTGGACAAAACTAAATTTGCCTTAAATTTTATTTTATTACTAACCAATGCGTTTTCAATATATAAAAATAAAATAATATAAAATTCTGATTTTAAACTTTGAATTCTTTCAGTAACCCTGTATATTTTTCGGAATCTTTTTAAAAATCCAAATGTATAATTTCATTTTAGTGAAACAGAGCGCTACAAAAAGATTAAATGGCAAGATGTCCGCGTTGGTGACCTGGTGCATTTATCTAATAATGAGACCGTGCCGGCAGATATTCTGCTTCTGCGAACGAGTGACTCACACGGTGCCTGTTATATTGACACTTGTGATTTAGATGGTGAAACAAATCTAAAACGGAGAGAAGTGAATATATTTTCGAAGCAAAATAATTTCTTTGAGTGAATACATATATTAATTTGTTCACATTTAGGTTGTGCGAGGTTTTACAGATAAACAGAATATATTCACACCAAGTAAATTCGTGAGTCGTGTCGAGGCTGATGCACCCACTACAAAACTTTATAGATTCCATGGGGCCTTAATACATCCAACTGGGAATCGCATACCCATTGCCACAGAAAATTTGCTGCTGAGGGAAAGTCGCCTGAAAGTGTGTTTGGAAACAATATGTAAATTAACAAGACTGAACTATAATGAAAGTTAAATTTTTTTCAGAATACTGATTTTATTGAGGGCATCGTGGTGTATGCAGGCCACGAAACAAAATCAATGCTGAACAACAGTGGCCCTCGGTATAAACGCTCTCATGTCGAACAACAGATGAATATTGATGTGATATGGTAATTTATGCACAAGTCCTCTAAATATACACCTGATCCTTCTATTATACGGTTAGTCGGATAATTAGACAAAGGCAGGTTTTACATGCAAATCTGCAAACTCGTTGCACTAAAAACAATTTGTTTTGCCTTCGATGATGAGGTAAAAATGTAAATCTCAAATGTATTCACAGGATGTCGTAAGCACCGTAAAGTCTTGAAGTCGTTAAATTTTTCAAAGTAAAATAACGGTTGAAATGGTTTTAAGGATTCGTAGGGTATAATAACAGCTAAACATATATGAATTTTCTATCAGTTTAAAAACATTTTGGCGTAGTTAAAAAACCCTCTAAAACCATTTTAACTGTTATTTTACAAAAATTGTACGGTTTTAAGCAGGGACGTAAAATAACCATCATTTTTTAAATTATAACCAAAAAAAAAAAAAGTTGTAACCGTCGTAAAACAATTTTAACTATACTCACGTATTTGTGTTCGTACGTTCTACTGGATTTTACAATGATTTTTATTTTTCGAGTTTAATTAATAAAGACAAAAAATAATAATTAATATTTCAGTTTTATTTTTTCGATCAAATGAAATTATTAATGCTTGATTATTATTTTTTCGATCAGACATAATAATTATTTTACGATTTTTATTTTTTCTCATAGATAATAATTATTATTGAGTTTTATTTTTAATGATCATTCAAAATATTCAAAAGCTATACGAGCGTGATTTCCGACGTATCCTGTTCAGAGCCAGTGACATCCTAATAAAAGGAATAATTCCCAAACTTTTCAAGTCGAAATTGCGGTAGGTTCCCTACCGAAAAAATTATTAATTGATTAAAATAGCCAATTTCTAGTTAGCTTTTTTGCGGGATTTCGATAAATAACTAACTTTTAATTTGTTATGACAAAACTAACTTTAAGTTGGTTGTAAAGTCGTGCAGGAGTCATGTAGATGTTATCGGGAGTTTGTTTTCTTAACAAGTTTCAATTTAAATATCCTCATTCAAAAATTACTTTCAATACACTTTTTCTGTAGTTCGCAGATTCTTTTTCGTATTCAGGACAAATAAAATAAAAGTCGAAATTATATATTATCATTTTGATGTTATGTGTGATCGAATTCAAATATGAGACCACCCATGATAAAAAAATAGAAGGTAGGTTCACTTCAATATTTTTTGACGGATACTGGCATTTTTGAAGTTTCATAAATTCTACGTTTTAGAAGCAGCGTTGCCACATTGATATTAAAAAAAATTTAAAAATAATTGATGATATTTTGGGATGGGTGTTCCTATTATTTTTAATGGGTCTTAGTCTTTTCAGACGATCCTATATAGTATATAGTATTTGGAGTTTTAAAATGTGTACTAATTTTGATTAGAAGGTCGTGAGCTGGACCGATTTGAAAATACCTCCAAAAATGTTATTTTATGTAGTTATTTTAAAGAATTAAAAAAAAAAATCCCTTGGACGTTAAAACAGTTTAAGCTTAAAAAATCTGCATAAAATTATTTTAAAAAAATTTCAACGGGATGATAATAATGAGAATTTTCAACCTTTCAACTTTTTTCAAATACTGGTTTAAGAAAAACTTAAATAAAAGGACCAAACTATACCGATTTAGCCTTATGTGGAAAGGTATTTTCTCACCCTTTTTATTTCTTTACAAAAAACACATTCGTGTCCCAATTTTTATTTTTTTTTTGAATATCAACACATCTTAATTAAAGTTGGAATGACACTCGTCATACTTTGAATTATATTATGCAACGATTTAAAAAGAGTGATGAAATACCTTTCCAATGATACCTTACGAGTCTAAATCGGTGAAGTTTTGACTTAGTTATTTAAGTTTTTCTAAAACCAATCTCTGAAAAAAATTCATAAACAGCATCAATAATCTTATTAGGATTCTATTGAATTTTTTTTTAAGTTTAATGCAAGTTTTTTAAGTTAAAACTATTTTGTCATCCGAGGTGATTTTTTTTCAAAAAATTACTTAAAAAAACTATATTTATTCATAAAAAACACAAGGAGGTATATTCAAATCGGTCCAGCTCACGTAAATCTTAATATTTTTCCGACATATTTTGGTGCAAGTTTTAAAATATAATAGATTTTATATTTCCAATGGAAAAACAGTAGTGGGGTGATGCAATCTAATGTACATACGTATACAAGTATACTTACATACATACGATTCAGTTTCTCCAAAACCTCTGAAATTGAGGAAATACATATATTGCTTTGAACAAACAAATTGCACTTCGGCAAGATTTTATTCTTTCACGTCACAAGCTTCTAACCACTTATTTCTTATAAACGAGAAAATTTGAAAAATTTCACACCGGAATCCCTGCACAAATTTATAAGATTCCTACAGCTTTCAATTCATTTTTTATATTATTAAAATGACTGATTTTTTCGTTTTAAAATCTTTTGTTTGAAATTTTTTCAAATGCAGTTGAAAAATTATTTTTTTTATAGCTGGTAGTTTGATTTTGATAGAGATGCCATAATGCCCGGAAAAGTCAAATGGCTAGCATGGCGACCAAAATCATTAAGTGAAACTACCTTCTTTTTTGTATCATGAGACCACCTTTAAAAGAACATGTTAACAAATAAGCAAATATGTAACGTTAAATAAAAAAGTAAATTAATAAAAAAAATTAAGAATCTATTTTTTTTTTATTGATAGTTTATGTTCAAAAGTTGTTATCTACAAGTTAGCATCTAATGCAGAAGAAACCAGTTCTCACTATTTTGCGAACATCGCCCTTCAACAGTTAGTTACGGCCAAAGGAAATAGTTAATAAATAGTTAGCTACAAACTAGTCCCATTTCCTGCAAGGTTGCGTCTGTATAGCCTTTCCAATTTTATAAATAATCATTATTTTCAAATGAAAAAACAAAACTAAAAAATAATGATTATCTCTGAGCGAAAAAATAAGTCATAAAATAATCATTATTTGTGATCGGAAAAATAAAAATCAAATAACAATTATTTCCGTTGAGCGAAAGAATAAAACCCAATAATAATTATTAATTTTAAGCGAAAAAATAAAAATCGTAAAATAATGATTAAATGCTGATTTAAATTATTTTACTCATAATGATTACCGTCCCTGATTTTAAGACATTACAACGCTTACGACATCTTGTGAATACCCTACTTGCGAGACAAAATCCTAATCGTTTTTCCTAGTGATACATTTATTTACCAATTTTGATTTTATAAAAAAAAAAAATAGAATAAAAAGGTAAACCGCTTCTTATGCTGGATTATGGATTAAATGTCAAAAATTGTAATGACAAAGCTTAGCACTAAAAGATATTCGTATCATTACTTAAAAAAAATTGTCATTAAGTTAATTTCCACATGGCATTTTTTAAATGACACCATTTTTTTGTCATTTTGTAATGCCTAGTGGAAATTCGGCTTCTTCGGCACTTTAACTCAAAAATAGGCTCAACACTAGACCGTTCGTTATTTAATTTTTTTTTAAATATACAGTTTGCCGGGCGGAAAAATATGTCTTTTGGTCTAAAAATAAGATGTGCAAAATTTTATTCGAATACGATAGCTCTAAGTACTTGCGCGTTGCATTTGAAAATTTAGAAAACCATTCAGGGAAAAAAGTTTTTAACAAAATAGTTTAAAGTCATGAATTTTAGTCATTTGCTATGTAAAATAACTCACAAAATCTGAATATTAGGTAAAAAATAACAAGTAGAATAGGTTTTAAGAGTTTGCGAAATTATCGTTTTTTTTCAAATTGAGAAAACAGCATTTACCATTTTTTCCAAAAATATCCGATTCTGATTATTAGTCTGTTCCAATTGCAGTCCGGTTTACAGGATTTAGTTTTAGTCAGAACTTACAGGAAGTCGTTCCTATTGGCATAAAACCTGTAAGTGGGAACACTTTTGAGAGAGTAATTGAGCAACTGTTCCTAGTCAGAAGTTACAGGATTTAGTCCGGAGTTTTTTTTTCCTGTAAGTTCATGAAAAGTGTCAAACGATCAGCTGATTTGCATGTGCAATCAAAAACAAAGAACCCTATATTTGTAAAAATATGGAAGTACAAAACGAAATATTTGAATATGTATAGATTTTAATAATTAGTTAGTGATATTTCAGCCAAATCAGTGTTGTACAAATGACATGTAGGCAAACCGACTAACGTTTTTACAGGAAATAGTGCTTTTTGCGTTCCCGTGCACTTCTGCATCTGTTCTCTTTTTACTCTAACTTGAGAGAGTAAAATTGTAGTTTGACAGTTCTACAGGTTTTAGTCCGAAGTTCAAAGGAACAGACTATATGTATCACTTCTTCTTCTTCTTTTTTGGCGCTGTAACCGCCTAAGCGATTTTGGCCGAGTTCAGCAAAGCACGCCAGTCGTGTCTCCTCTGTGCCAACTGACGCCAATTGGAAACGCCAAGTGAAGCCAAGTCCTTCTCCACCTACATCTTTCCATCGCAGTGGGGGCCTCCCTCTTCCTCTGCTACCACCAGCGGGTTCCAAGTTGAATACTTTCAGAGCTGGAGCGTCGGTTTCCATTCGAACGACATGACCAAGCCAGCGGAGCCGCTGTATTTTAATTCGCTGCACTATGTCCATATCGTTGTATAGCTCATAAAGCTCATCGTTTCATCGTCTGCGGTACTCGCCGTCGCCAACGCGTAAAGGCCCGTAAATCTTCCGCAAAATCTTTCTCTCCAACACTCCAAGCCGCCTCATCGGATGTTGTCATTGTCCATGCTTCTGCGCCATATACCAGCACGGGCATGATGAGTGACTTATAGAGCGTGGTGTTCGTATGTCGAGAGAGGACTTTACTCCTGAATTGCCGACTCAGTCCAAAGTAGCACTTGTTGGCAAGAGTGATTCTTCGTTGGATTTCAATGCTGACATTATTATCGGTGTTAATGCTGGTTCCCAAGTAAACGAAATTCTCTACTTTCTCGAAATTGTAACTGTCAACAGTGACGTGGGTGCCAA